TGGTAGTAAATCAATTTTATACATTTATCAATTTATCCAAAAATAAATAAGCAAATTGATATATAATCGAAAGTAATAAAAGTTAAGAAGGAATATCCTGTGAAAGCAAATTACTACATCAAGAAAAAATGGAATTACTTACATATTTTCTACTTTTCATCTAGATTTGGATGTGAGCTGATAGTTTCTTCAGCGGCAAAAACACCAATTCTCCTAAGCTGAGGTTCCATCATTTTCCTACCTATCATGCCCTGCAAGCATAAAATTATCACAGCTATTGAAGTGAAGAACGCTAAAAGTATGGTAAACAAGAATAACTGGTAACTACATGCACTCCTTGAGTATGTCTCCATGTCTCAGAGAGATCTACATTGCAACTTAAAACAAAAAAAGCATATATTCTGAGAGATAGTCCCATACATCAAATTCAAAATTTGAAGAGTCGTTGGTTTTGTTATAGGAAGCACTTTCAAAGGTCAGAAACATCCATCTATGAATACTCTATAGTGATAGTTGGAATTCATTGTAGAACTTAATACACCTTCCATTCAATATCTAGTATTACTCTTTATAGGTAACAACCATTCAGAAGGAGCAGCATCAGAAAATGAATGTAATCGGATTTGGGCTGGAGTTGAAATTGTCAGTGGGTAAGCACTAAGCATAAGTTTGCTATCCAAAAAGAAAATGCATTGGCAATGGAAAACATGTTGTGCCTCCTTCAACAAAGCCAGGATTAGATATATTTAGCTTAAAACGCACCTTTGTAACATTGGTGCGGTCTAAGCAATTAATGCAATTGGTCCTTACTACTCCAAGTTGCTCCTTCATTTTCTCACCCTTGTCATTCAACAAGAGGTACCTATCAGTTTTGGACAAAGAGAACCCAACATCAATCCCTATATTTCATTCCTATAAACTTCTACTAAGGGAACAATATTGTAAAACCTTTCCTTGCAAAATCAATCAAATAAAAAGCACACTAGGAACAGTTATCAAATTGTATATTACAGATAAATTCAATTATCAAAACATACCCATTTTTATCAAGAAAATCTGCAATTTGATCATAGAGGAAGGAAAGACGCTCAAAATGAACATGTCCACAGATCTTATGGAAATCAAAGTGAATATATCTGCAATATCACAGGTTATTGCATAAAACATAACAAAAACAAAGGAAAAAGAAAGGTTTAGATAAACAGAAACTATACCTTAAATCATCACTTTGTATAGGTTCCACTGAACTTGCAAACTTTGCACTTAAGCGCCCCTCATCTCCGGTCTGGTAAGAGATAAAGTGGCACATGATCAAACATTTGAAATAATGAATGAATGCTTGCCCAAATGAAAACTCACTTTTTGCAAGGACAAAGTATAATGTCAACATGCATTCTCTATGCATTTCATAAGAGGATTTGAGTATATTCAATATAATAAATTACAACGCATACTGCAAACCAATAGTCATCCAATGCTCACTGTGGTGACAAGATCAATAGCTAGTACAACTCCATATTTTTGCCTTAGATCCAGAAAATGCCTCTCAGCCACTCGGGGCTACATAATGTCCTAATACCAGAAAAGTCGGTGAAGGTAGAAGAAATTCATGCGTGCAATAAAATAGTTGCAATAAATGAACACGCTTACAGCTTCTTCAGGTTTTACAATCTCAAACTTAGGCTTATAAGTCAAATCAACAATTTGCTCCCAAAGAAATGGCATTGACCCTCGAACCTGTAAGAGGCAAAACAAGGGCATGGGTTTATAACAATCTGATCCAATAACCCGTAGAACGTGAAAATAAAAATATGGCCCTCATAACTTGGACACTGAAAAATTGGCAAAGGCAGGATTGGGTAGAGTCAGCCCACTGCTGATTGCACTTGGAAGAGGTTCTTAATACTTGTACCTTTGTTTTGATATGTCTGATTACTTTTGGTTTATAAAGCCTTTATTTATTAATAAATTTCTACTTTTCAGGGGGGGGGGAAACTTTTGTTCTTGGTACTTCTCTAAGGAATATAAGGACTGAAAAAGAGGCCAAATTTTGTAACATATTGATTTTATAGAGATTAAACAAGTAGTGACTGTTACCTGAACAAATGAAGTAATAAAACCATTCATCTGCACAATTTGCTCTGTTTCCACAAAATTTGCAGCATACCCATCAGGATCAGCTCCCCTTCTCCACATTCGGGTTCCTTTCAAACGATACATAATCATTGACATTAAGTTGCCTACATAAAGCCTAAAAAGCTTGAAAGTAAGAAAATGAAGCAGGGTTTAAATATTATTTTATATATCCATTTAGAAAATCCATTTCCTATCCGTCTCAAGCTCAAAATGGATGAGGCAATCCTGTCAGCTAATATTTTGTACAGATAATGAAATTTATCCAGTACAAACATGAATGGAACTTGCAAAAGGTACGAATTTGTTCATATTAGAAAAGAGAATCTGTAATAGTACTAGTCTACCAGATTTTCATTGCTTTTGCAACATTGAATAATTCAAACCCTTCCCTTCAACATCACAAATTTGAAAAATAAAATTGCAGGCAAGATAAAGCCAAGCTAAAAAATATAATTTATTTTTTGATAAAATAAGACCTCATTAAAAACCCCCTTATTATCCTACATGTTACAAACATAACATGAAGGACATTGGAAGGAGGAAAAGAGTGCCTCTAACTTTTATTAATTAGAACAATAATACACCTCCACACCTCAACTGCTAACAACTTCTTACAAAACAGAAAACCATAAATCTGAAAACATAACACACCCTGATACTCCCTAAATAAGAACAACCAAGGCATAACACCTTAACTATTACACAAACCTAAAAATCAGCCTATACCAGCTTTAGCTAATTCATCCGCTTCCCAATTTGCTGCTCTCGAGATGAGCCTTGTGATAATACCCTTCCTCTCCACAGTAGAAGCTAAAAAATATTGAGAGCATTTCTAGCTTTGGCTACCATTTCTCCGGGTACATCTCCTAGCAATCAATGTAACATCAACAATTTCTTTTCCAATGGCTGCTTGGAAGTTTTGAAAACCTAATTGGCAGTTAAGGGGATGCTTTATATAGAAAGTCGACACTAGTAATGAATCAGTTAAGAAGGAATAAGAACTTTTCATGCCAAAAATTGCTAAAATTATTAGTTTCATCAAGGATACTCCCTTGGACAACTGGAAGCAAAAAATGGATCAAGCTGCAATCACAGAACCCAAAAGGAGTTAGCTACTTCAAATTCAAAGGATGCAAATGAGGGGCATGAAACTACACAATTACTAAAGGAAAAGGCTCACCTTGTGGTCTATAAGTACTTCCAACATATAATTGTTCCAAAGAAATCTGGGTTATGCCTGTGGAAAGCATTTGGTAACATAAGGAAAAGCCTCTCAGTAATTTAGTGGCAACAAAGAATGAAAGAATCACATGGAAATTTTGATGAATATTGAATACTGCACTTACAAAAACTACCATAAAAGCAAACTACCATAAGGAAAAGGCTCATCTAATAATCTCATAAAATAGAAAACAAAGAGAGTAATCCATCTACTAGGTACTTAAAAATTGAGCAATTTACCTGTCTCCAAAGAGGAAGCAATTTAGATTTGTGTCCCAGATCATTTAATCGCTGAGCACTGTTGTGTACAAAATCATATAATGGTTACTTTCACCAAAAATATAAACATTTAAAGAAAATATAACAACTGGCAAAAATGAATAAGAGTACATAATTGCCAATAAATCCAAAGTGCCTAGCCTATTGATATATATTGGAAGCTTGCAAGTTGTTTGATGACATACTATTGGCCTTCATTAACAAACTAAAATCTTGATGATTATACTGGAACAACTTTGTGGTGATAGTTAACTTTAACATATTAAAGGGCCAGTTTACTGTTTTGCCTCACAACATGCTATGTTTCTCACAAATGTGCTCTCTATGTGTCATCTTAAACCTACAGAACAAAGGCATATCTAAAGTCAATCCATTTTCCAGTGTGTCAAAAGGGAATTGTACTTTACCCCTCCTAGGATTACCACTTATAAACTTATAGTTAGCAGTTTGCATGTGTATACATAAGGCTGATATTTATAATGCAGAGATTTCTTGTAATTGTAAACTGCTCTGGTTGGAAGTTTCTCTAAGAAGATATCACTCAGAAAGATGCTGGTGTGCACATCAGAACCTTTTTTGCTTGATGTGTAACTGTTTTGAGAAAGAAAATTGTTCTACGCGTGCATACAAGGCCTGATTTGACAAAGTAGTTCACCTCAGCGTTAAATTGGTGTCATAAGAGAAAAAGAGGCCAAAAGTCCGCTCTGCAACTTTTAGCAGCCCAGAAAATTCACTCTCGACCTTTTTCTAACAAAATGGCATAAAAGATTCTTGTGTGAATCAACCAATTCAATTACACTTGCTAGAAGAAGTGAGGAAACAGTCTGTACCTGTTCTGGAGAAGAGTTTTTAAGCGAATGATCGCATGGAAGAATTCTCATGGATACAACTTTGAAGATGGGATGCCCCAAGTAATATGCAACACATTCATGCTCCGTTATAACAATTAAATATGATCCTAAGCAGATAAAATTTAACACATCAAAATGATTGGAGATATGGAGATACCACCGGCCTCAATTCTGAGAATACAATCAAATAACAAAAGTAAAACGAAAACCAATTGTCGTCTCATTTGGATCTTACAGATTTATATGCCCTACTGATCTAATCAGGCACATATTTTCACCGTTCAATTGGGGTCCCCAGCTAATTTTCCATAAAGGATAATTAAAAATTCAGAAATTTCATAGAAACCTATCATACCTGCAACAAGCTTTAGCATTCCACTACTCCAAAGATGGCCTGAATCTTAGGAACACGAACAGCGCTGCATTCTGGAATAGCATCTATAGAACGAAGAAAAACGTCCAGTAAAACCATCTAACACTTTACCAACCAAAGACCAAAATTGAAAAGAGAAGCAGAAGAATAGTAAGATGGGGTGAAAAACCCACCAACGAGCTTGATTGAGGCATCCACACGATTAATTGACAAAGAGGAAGCAGAAGAACCATCGGAGGGTTCAATCACATACTCATCAGGGAACTCCCATAACCGCAGTCTTGTATATAGCTTTTGGCATGACTCTGCCCTCTCCATCATTATTGGAATTCTATTTCACTACGAAGTCACATTCAACAATCAAAAACACAAGAGAAAGAAATATATCTTAAAGAACCCTTCAATGAATCAATGTAGGAGGACTTTGTTGAAGTGAGAAATAAATAGCAGGCAGCAAAAGAGGCGAAAAAGCAAAGGGTACCCGACAAAAGACGAATAAAAGCAAGATTCTGTGTAGAGAGTGAGATCTATGTTTACTGGTCCAAAACAACAAAAGTGAAACAACCCCGTTTTTCTTCAAGTGAAAATGCAGCTCGTTTTGCAACAAAAAGGAAGAAGGGTATAACGAGAGGGCAGGCGAAAGCCTGATAGACTAACGTTGTCCAATGATTGTTTATGTTTTCTTGTTCCTCTTACTGATGAGTTAAGTTTTGTCGAGCTTAGGATTTTTAACAGTTTTAGGCTAATAAAAGAATAAAACAACGGCGGACGACTATTATTATGCCGTTGTCTGGGGCTTTTTGCAACTGATTATCTGCTAACGTGGGCTTCCATTCGCTCTGCTTCCAGTTTCTACCCCATTAATACGGCATCATTGACATGGTCATTCTCCATTGCTCACAATGCTACTCTTTTATTCATCCTCTTCTTTCACTTCCACCTGAATAATATATTATCGAATCATAACAAGTTAAACATTTTTTAAGTAACATCTCGATTTTATTTTAAATATAATTAAAGTTCGTGTAATTATCACACATCGCATACTCATATATATATATATATATATATATATATATATATATATATATATATATATATGACTTTTTCTAACACCAACCAGACTATAAATATATATATATATATAATTGACTTTTTCTAACACCAACCAGACTATAATGGTTAAAAGAATTTATTATTATTTTTAGAGGTATCGGATTTGAACATCAATAGAGTATGAACGTTCATTGTCAATTGATTGAAAATCTTATTAATCGTTTGGTTGATTTTTTGTTTAATTTTTCAATGTTGGATTTTTATGTCACTTTGACTAACCAAGATAGTGTTTATCTGTTACACTGTTGATTTTTCTGTTTTGAACCCTCATATTGAACTTGGATATGTAATTTGTGTTTGTCGATAGTTTTTTGTTGACACTCGATTATGCTTTGCAGTTGTTGTTGGTTTTGCAGTAGTTTAATCTCATGTTATGATTCATTTGCCGGTCCAATCAAACTTGTTCGTATTTTTCTTTTGTTCAAGTTTTTTAGATGAATTTTTAAGATTTTCCTTATATCATCCTTAAGATATCTCGAGTGATTGGTTTATTATATCAATAGTAATATGAAAATATTTTAATTATGTATTTAATTTATGAATAAGTGTAATTAAAAAAAATTATCCGCTCTATTTGCGATCATGTGATTGGTCTTTCTTTCTTTTTACAGTTGCAGTTCTGTTGGATTATATTTCGACATATGTGAAAAAACTTTGTTCATAAATCCTGTCTTTCTCGATCCTCAAGTTTGCCTTTTTCATGGTTATCTACTAACCTTTGACAATCTTGTCAAGATTTTAGCAGACTGTTCTATTTTCAAATCTGAAACCCCATAAAATTATTAAAATATAACCACATCATTAGCTTAGCTGTCGAGGAAAAGTAGTATGCACGAGAACCATGGCCCAATAACAGCAAAGCTCCAGCGCGAACAGATTGGTTTACTTGGCATAAAATGTCATTGCACATGGCATAAAATGTCTTTTCTACAATGGAAGTAAAGAAGAAAACCTGTCGGGTGTAAAGGACCGGTATCTTTCACCAGCCTGCTTAAAGTTTTCCTTCTCAATAATGCACTGTGACGTTTGTTAAAGAAGTCATAAACTGATCATGATCTAATTGGAAGACTCAGAGATTCAAGCTTAAAACTTAAATTAGTTGAAATAGGATCTTAGAGAAATAACCTTCTCTCTTTGACCGCTACCAATGGCAGAAGAATAGGGTGCTTCTCAGCACGACGAACAGGATCATACCTAGAAGGGAAGTAGTTCACCTAAAAGAATATTCATTAACAATAATTATGCAACAATAAAATGATGATTGGTCACAAATTGGTGCAGACTAAGCTGTAAAAAATTTACTAGATCATTAAAATAGAAACTCATTTGGGTGCTTTCTAATGATGATCATTTAAGTCTTCTATACGATAGGAGTATGAAAGTATGCATGCATGCTTGCTTATCTACACAAAAATAAAAGAGAGAGAAAGAGAGAATACCTCCTCATCTGTATGCATAAAATTCATAAAACCGTCATGATGATTATTTGATGAACACATTTGGGGGCATTTGCTGGAAGCTGCAGATAATTCGGTCCAAGACGTTACCTCTGAGTGTCAGAATAGGAGAAGATTCTAGATTGGAGCATCTTATCATCTGAATAATAGATGCCAGGGACAATGATGGAAGAGCAGAAGGCTAACTGCTCATTCTCAGCAAAGAAATTGTCGATGTTCCTGTTTAACACCATTCGACCCACTGGCTGCAATGGCAAGATGTCCTCTGGCCAGGTATTGGTTACATCAAGTGGATCAAAATCAAACCTGTCCTCATCAGCGGGATCCATTATTTGAATGAATAGCTTCCACTCAGGGTAGTTTCCAGTTGCAATTGATTCGTAAAGATCTTGTGTAGCGTGACTGTGATTGGCTCCACCAACTCTTACGGCATGATCCTCCAACAGAGATTTTACGCCACAAGTGGGTTTCCAGTGGAATTTCACATAGTGCATCTTCCCAGCCTTGTTGATTAGAGTGAAGGTATGAACACCAGAGCCATCCATGTGCCTATAATCTTGTGGAATACCAATGTCATCAAAGAGGTAGGTGAACATGTGCAAGCTTTCAGGGTGGTGCGAAAAGAAGTCCCGAATCCTCCAGTTCTCCTGAATGTGGGACTTTGGGTTGGGTTTGAGAGCATGGACCATATCAGGGAACTTCATTCCGTCACGGATGAAAAACACAGGGAAATTGTTCCCCACTAGATCAAAATTTCCCTGGTTGAACAAGGAAACCAAAGAGAGCAAACTATTAACTTCACTTCTCATAAATGATATTTCTGACTCAAATTCCTCAACATATGTGAATATATATGATGATGCTTTCTCTATTTATGCAAATAGTACGAACATAGACACATAATATACAAAGAAAGAGAGAAGAGTGTGAAAGTGCTTACAAAATTAAGAAAACAGAAGCAATAAAGCAAAACCTTAGATATGGAACCAAATCTCTTGTTACCTCTCGAGTGTAGAATTTCACAGCGAAACCTCGAAGGTCTCTCAAAGTTTCAGGACTACTGCGTTAATGAATAACTGTGGAAAATCTAACAATGACTAGAGTCTGGACTTCAGGGGCCCAAAGGAAATCAGCACATGTAAGATGAGATATATCATGAGTGACCTCGAAGAACCCTTTTGCACTGGCTACTCTAGCATGAACAACACGTTCAGGTATGCGTTCTCTATCAAAATTAGCTAGCTTTTCCACCAAATGATAATCTTCTAGGAGAATTGGACCTGTCATATGATATAAAGTGTCATCCAGCCTCTGGTTTTATTGCATATATCTTTTGCTTCTGGTTTTCCATGAAGCTAGTCCTCCCCAAATCATATAGAACCTTTTGAAGAACTTTACCAGCAAAAATGGTTGGCATGACTCAAGAAGCTTTGGTGTCTCATAAGAAGCATGATTCAAAATAATTGATGCTAATATTGACAAAATCAACACCTTAATAAGGCTAAAATAAGTACATGTGAAACGCATCCAAATCGACCCAAAGATACAAAATTGAAGGTTTAGAAACTCTACTATTTATCTATGAAAACACTACAAGGAATAAACATCATATGGACGCTCCTGGAATCATATATAATTACCTCTTGCTCCCGCGTTAAGTGATGAATTATTGTTCCAAACTGGAGCACCGGAATTTGTGGCCCAGAAAGGGGAATTGAAGGCACTTGGAGGACGAAGCTGCATCCAAAAATAGCTCCAATAAGAAGTAAAAATAAATAGCACAAGCAAACTAATTGAAGGTTCCATAAGATAGTGGACTTGACTTTATTGACAGATATTATAAGAGGTAAACGACCAAAACCCAGGAACTGAAAACCAGAAAGGAAATTGAACATATGAATTATCATAGAGATCACGCAAAGACGGATAAAGGGACAAAATATAAACCATTTAATTAAAGCATTAGCAATAGACATCGGAACTACATAGCTAGATATAAATAATAGAAATACAACATCTCTGCTTGTTAGCTAAGAAAATATAGGAAAATGGGAAAGAACTTGAAGTTTATCCATTCATTAGAGAAAGATCAAACAGCAATCTTTGATGAGATAACTTTCTCAAATTGGTTCAAATGCTTCAACCTTTAACATACTATATCTTCTAAAAAAATTCACTGACAACAATCAAAGATAGGGAAAAAAAATTAAGCAATCAAGAAAGAACACTTTTTTCAGATTTAATAGATATAAAGCATCCCAAAATTGAAACTTGATGTCATGACCCATGAGGCGAATTTAGGGATTGCTGAAGAGAAAAAGGGAAACACGGGGAAATTAGGGATTGAAATTGGGAAATTAGATGAAGAGCAGAAGGATCGGCTTATGATATTACCTGATGAACCAGGAACTTGGGCGTGGGCTGATGGAGATAAGGAGGGAGAGCTTAGTGGACCTGAGAAGGAAAACGAGCCCAACAACCTGCACCAACAGTAGAAGACAAATCGGTTAAGGGAATCTAGTTTGTTGGAAAATAAGGCACAGCTAGCAATCTATTATGGCTATTCCTATAAAAAAAAATTAGTTGTAATGAGCATCAAATCCATGAATAAAAATATTAAGTATTCTGTTTCTTCAATCTATCTTCTTTATTCTCTTAATCTTTTCTTAAATTCTTGAGCAATTAATCACAATTGGTAATCAGAGCACGGTTTTTTGATCCAAAAGTACAAAAAAAATTCAAACTGGGGAAATCAAAGAAAACACAGCAAATGACTCTTATTGAGCAGCCGCCGTTCATTCCTACTGATCCAGCAGAGTCTTCTGAAGCAGAAGTGATTCCCACTTAGTAGCTTAATCAACAGAGTGCTTTGGAGCAGAGGATGCAAGCTTTGGAGACTACCAAAAATGAAACAAAGAATATGCTCCAGCAACTTTTGGGATTGATGTAGAAAACTGGGACTGAATCAGGACATTCTTCTCCTACAGAAAGACAACCATTGCCTACAGTTAGCTTAAAGAACCAAGCACGCTGCCTTTACAAGTCACAGTTATAGATGAGCATGAAAAGTATTCATTTCAGCCGGGACAACCTGGAATTCTAGCATCTAAACCTAGTTTGCCACATGATACTAATAAAAGAGTTCCTGATGTTCTAAAAATGAAAGCAGTAGCCCATACAACTGAGTCGGGGGAATAATCGATTATTAAAGGCCATTCAATTTTTGGAAAAACATTCCAGGAACAACAATACTAGTATGTTTCTTCCAAAACCAAAAATAAAGCTCCAATTCTTTAATGGCAGTAATCCTAGGAGTTAGATTAGGAAATGTGAGAAGTGTTTTTCTATTTTTGATGCTCCTGAGTTTCAGAAGTTAGAGATAGCTGCTATGTATTTCACTGGTAGAGCTGAAGTTTGGTTTGATGGGTATATCATGAAAAAGAGTATAGTCACTTGGCATGAATTTGTCTCTGATTTGTGTCATCAATTTGTTGATAAAGGATATACTGATGTTATTGATGAGTTTAATAAGTTGACTCAACTATCTTCTGTTGAGGAGCATGAAGCTCAGTTTGGTGAACTTCAACCTTATCTTCTTCAGATTAATCTTGAATTAGGAGAGGAGTATTTTGTTTCCAGTTTTTTGAGTGGTCTTAAGGAGGAATTGAAACACAAAGTTAAGGTTTTGTAACCAAAGACTGTAGCTGAAGCTGCTAGAAAAGTAAAACTATATGAATTGTCTTTAGAAGTGGAAAACAACAGAATTAGAAGTATTCCAAGACCAGTGTTGTTAGGAAATGCTACCAGTTCCATAATACTTAATTCATCACAGAGTTCATCTTTGAAGAACAGTCCAGGAATCACTCAAAACAGACAATAATTATTGGAATATAGAAGAGCAAATAATTTATGCTATAAATGTGGTGATAAGTTTACACCAGGCCATCACTGTAAATTTAAACAATTAAATTCTATGGAAGAGATAGAAGAGCAAGAGGAACTTGAAGAATTACAAGCAGCTCAACCTAATTATGATAAGGCAGCATCTGAAGAGAATGATCCAAAGATTTCTATAAATGCAATTACTGGCAATTCAAGAAGCAATACCCTCAGAATTCAAGGATTCATAAAAGGGAAACCACTCAGTATTTTAATTGATAGTGGCAGCACCCATAGTTTTGTCACTAACAGGTGGGCTAAAGAAGGGTTGGAGTTGGAAGAAACTAATCTCTTAGTTATTACAGTGGCTAATGGTGATAAACTTTACATCACGGCAAAAAGTAAACAGTTGAGCTGGGAAATGCAAGATTTTACTTTTGCACATGATTTTAGGGTTTTACCCTTTGGAGGCAGTGATATGGTACTAGGAGTTGACTGGATGAGGAAATATAGTCCAGTCTTAATGGATTTTAACAACATGACTCTTAGTTTTAAAATGGGTGAACATGAGATTGTATTGAAGGGAGGGTTGCATTCTATTGCAATGAAGATAATTTCAGGCAATAAGATGCAAAAATTTATGATTAAAAATCCTGAAGTAGTGGGGGAGATTTACATGTTAAATGCAGAAGTTGCTGATAACGAAATACCTCATAATCTTCAAGCAATAATTACTGACTATAAAGATGTTTTTGAGGAACCTACTGGGATGCCTCCAATAAGGAAGCATGATCATTATATTACTCTTAAACCATGAATTGAAGCAGTAAATGTCAGACCCTACAGGATTCCTTATCATCAGAAAACAGAAGTTGAGAAACAAGTGGTTGAAATGTTAGCAACATCAATTATTCAAACAAGAAAAAGTCATTTTGCTTCACCTTGTTTATTGGTTAAAAAGAAATATGGAAGTTGGAGAATGTGCATTGATTTTAGGCAGTTAAATGCATTAACTGTTAAGAACAAATTTCCCATTCCTGCGGTGGATGATCTTTTGGATGAGCTAGCTGGTGCACATTTTTTTCTAAATTGGATTTGAGATCTGGTTATTGCAGATAAGGATTAAGCCTGAAGACATTCTAAAAACAGCCTTCAGGACACACCATGGTCATTTTGAATTTAAGGTAATGCTCTTTGGCTTAACTAATGCACCTGCTACTTTTCAAGCTCTTATGAATGATATATTTGGAGTATATCTTAGGAAATTTGTCCTAGTATTCTTTGATGATATTTTAATCTATAATTTTATTTGCATAGTCATGAGCATCATTTGAGAACTGTTTTGGAGATTCTAAGGCAAATAAACTTTTTGCTAAGAGAAGTAAATGTTTTTTGGCCAATCTGAAGTAGAATATCTTGGTCATACTATTTCTCCTAGAGGAGTATCTACAAATTCCTCAAAAATTCAGGCAATTCAGAACTGGTCCATTCCACAGAATTTGAAATCCTTAAGAGGGTTTTTGGGCCTTATTGGTTATTACAGAAAATTTATTAAAGTTTATGGGGAAATCAGTAAACCCCTCACTACAATGTTGAAAAAAGATCAATTAAGGCATTTATCAGACTCAAAGAGACTATGTGTAATGCTCCTATGTTAGCTTTACCAGACTTCACAAAACAATTTTGTTTGGAAACTGATGCCAGTTCCAAGGGTATAGGTGTAGTCCTCTCTCAAGAAGGTAGACCAATTGCTTACCTTAGTAAGGCTTTGGGACCAAAGCAGGTTGATTTATCTATTTATGAGAAGGAGTATCTAGCAATATTAGTGGTTGTTTCTAAATGGAGGCATTATCTTGAATGCAATCCATTTATTATTAAAACAAACCATGAATATTTGAAGCACTTACTAGAACAGAAGCTCACTACTGCTATTCAAAAGAAATGATTAACAAAGCTGCTAGTATTGGACTACTCTATTCAGTTTCACAAAGGAAAACATAAAAGGGTTGCTGATGCGTTATCAAGGTAGTTTGAGGATTATTCGAATTACATCAGTTATCTGCTACAATAGTTATTCCTGTTTGGGTATAGGAGGTGGAAAACAATTATGAACATGACTCTTTGGCAAAGGATTTAATTCCTAAATTGCTACTTGAAACTCATGCTATAGCAGATTGGTCTTATACTAAAGGAGTTCTCAGATATAAAGGCAGAGTTTATATTGGTGAGACAGGTGGTTTAAGAACACAAATCCTTTCTACACTTCATGATTCACCACAAGGTGACCATTCTGGGATACAAGCTACTTATCATAGGATGAAATTATAGTTTATTGGAAGGGAATGAAGGCATTGGTTAAATAACATGTACAACAGTGTGATGTTTGTTAGAGAATCAAACATGAAAATATCCTACAGCCTGGTTTACTACAACCTTTACCTATTCCACAACAAGTTTGGGAATTTATTACAATGGATTTTATTGAGGGGTTGCCTACTTCTAATAGATATAATTCTATTTTAGTGGTAATTGGAAAATTCACCAAATATGGGCATTTTTTACCTCTGGTTCATTTTTTTACAGCTACTGAAGTTGCTAAAATTTTCTTGGATCAAGTCTACAAACTTCATGGTCAACCTAAGATTGCTTTGTCTGACCGAGACAAAGTTTTTACTAGTGCTTTTTAGAAAGAATTCTTGAAGTTATTGGGCACTACAACTATATTTACCACTTCCTATCATCCTCAAACAGATGGTCAAACAGAGAGACTCAACCAATTTCTTGAATAATATCTAAGAGGACTTTGTTTTTTAAAACCTAGTTCCTGGGCTAAGTGGTTATCTCATGCAGAATGATGATATAACACTAGTTTTCATATAGCATTGGGAACTACTCCTTTCCATGCCTTATATGGTTATACACCTCCAACTATGACATGGACAAATGAATCAAGGGTGGCTGATGTCCAACAATTTATGCAGGAAAGAGATAATGTTAACAGTATACTACTTGACCAATTGACTAAGGCACATCATCGTATGAAGTATTATGCAGATCAACATCGCAGTGACAGAGAATTCATGGAAGGGGAAGAAGTTTACCTTAAGCTCCAGCCTTATAAGCAAACTTCTTTGGCCTTACGCAGGAATCTGAAATTGTCTGCTCATTACTATGGTCCCTACAAAATCAAGAAACGCATTGGTTCAGTAGCATACCAATTGGAATTACCAGATTATTCTAAGCTTCATCTGGTATTTCATATCAGTCTTCTTAAACACAAAACTGGGGA